AATGGATATAATGGAGACTGACTTCACATTAGCAGAAACAAGTAGGAACAAAGTGAATGAAAATGCAGCCAGAATCCTCGCGTTTTCCATGCTTAGTTGAGTTTTTCTTGTTCTGTCTACATACTTATATAGAGGTTTCTGAACTGAAATCCACCGAAAGTTGGCGCTAGTTGTTGCTAGGAGGCAGAGTGTAAGCGTGAGGCTCAGCCTTGGTCCTTGTGTTATATTGGTATGTGTTATTCCTCTTAATCAGCGTGTATTAGCTTAACAAAAACATTATCATCTTATAAAGTCAAAGCCACCAATTGTTTTGAAAAGATAAAAAAACTAACTTAAAATTGATAATAGATGTAAGCATAGAATGTAATAATATAAAATTCAAAAGAGAAACTGTAGGGGAAAAAAATGTAACCTTGGCTTAAAGTTTGGTTCCACAAAAGAAAGAAACCTCTGTTCTGTAAAGGATCAGCAACAGATTGTGAAAAAGTATTAGCCAATCATAGACAAATGATTTGCATCTGGAATGTATAAAGAGCTCTTAACATTAAGAAAATAATACATTTTATTCATTGCAAAGGGTTTAAATAGACACTTTATCAAAGGTGTGCTGATAGTCATATAAAAAGATGTTCAAGGCCCGGCATGGTGGCTTAGCGGCTACCTAGTCCTCGCCTTGAACGCACCAGGATCCCACATGGGTGCCGGTTCTAATCCCAGTAGCCCTGCTTCCCATCCAGCTCCCTGCTTGTGGCCTGGAAAAGAGGACGGCCCAAGGCCTTGGGAGCCTGCATTTGTGTAGGAGACCTGGACGAAGTTACTGGCTCCTGGCTTCAGATCGGCTCAGCTCTGGCCGTTGCAGTTACTTGGGGAGTGAATCATCAGACAGATCTTCCTCTCTGTCTCTCCTCCTCTCTGTATATATGGCTTTGCAAATAAACCTTTAAAAAAATATTCAGTATTATTAGTCATTAGACAAAAAGTTATATGCTGTATATATGCATTAGAATGGCAGAATCTTAAGACAACAAAAACTGACCTCGCCAAATACCAATGTTTGGTTGTGGAACAACTTGGACTCTAATATATTCCTGATAGAAATATAAAGCTATGGGCCCAGTGCAGTAGCCTAGTGACTAAATCCTTACCTTGCAACTGCCTGATCCCGCATAGGTGACGATTCATGTCCTGGCTGCTCCATTTCCCATCCAACTCCCTGCTTGTGGCTTGGGAAAGCAGTAGAGGATGGCCCATAGCCTTGGGACCCTGCACCTGCATGGGAGACCTGGAGGAGGCTCCTGGCTCCTGGCTTCAGATTGGCTCAGTTCTGGCTGTTGTGGCCACTTGGGGAGTGACCCAGCAAGTGAAAGATCTTTGTCTTCTCTCTGCAAATTTGCCTTTTTAATAAAAAACAAACAAATCTGTAAAAAAGAAATATAAAGTCTCTGAAAAACACCAGCTGTTCCTTAAAAAGAGAAACATGCATTTACTTTATGTTCCTACAATCTTATTCTTTGTGAGAAAAACACTTAATGTTCATACAGCAATATTAGTGATTATAGTATTGCTATATAGTTTATAGTGATTTTAGTGATTGCTCAAACCTGGGATAGCCCAAATATCCTTCAGAAAGTGAGTAAATCATGCTGTATTCTCCCAGTAGATTACTATCCAGCATTGAAAAGCAAAAGGCGTGGTGAGGTAGCCTAGTGACTAATGCTCTTGCCTTGTGCAGCTCGGACCCCATATGGGAGCCAGTTTGTGTCCTAGTTGCTCCACTTCCCATCCAGTTCCTGCTTGTGGCCTGGAAGGCAGTTGAGGACAGCCTAAAGGCTTGGCGGTCCTGCACCCGCGTGGGAGACTTGGAAGGAGCTCCTGGCGTCTGGCTCAGAAATAGCTGTTGTGGCTACTTGGGGAGTGAACCAGTGGACAGATCTTTCTCCTTATCTCTGTATATCTGACTTCCTAATAAAAATAAACAAATCTTTTTTTTTAAAGATTTATTTTTATTATTTTTTTATTGGAAAGGAGGATATACAGAGAGGAGAGACAGAGAGGAAGATCTTCCGTCCGATGATTCACTCCCCAAGTGAGCGCAACGGCCGATACTATGCCGATCCGAAGCCAGGAGCCTCTTCTAGGTCTCCCGCGCGGGTGCAGGGTCCTCCTCGACTGCTTTCCCGGGCCACAGGCAGGGAGCTGGAAGGGAAGCGGGGCTGCCGGAATTAGAACTGGCGCCCATTTGGGATTCTGGGCGTGCAAGGCGAGGACCTTAACCACTGCGCCACTGCGCCGGGCCCAACAAATCTTTAAAAAGCAAAGAGTTATCTACATATCACCTCAATCTCAAATGCATCTTACTAAGTTGGAGAACCCAACATCAACACTTGCCTATCAAGTTATTACGTTTATAAGACATTCTGGAAAAAGCAAAAATGAAAATAAATCCATGGTTGCCAAGATCAGGTGAAGGGGCATGCACAAATACAAAAAATAAAAAGCAAAGGACTGTGCAGTGTTTGAGTTGCTATGTTATTTTGTGTGTGGCATGGTTCTAAGAGCCTATATAAGCATAGGAAGCCATAGACAAATTAGCTTGTAAGCTTAAAACTTCAGTTGCCTTCCCATCCCATATCATAGGATACATTTAGCTTTCCAAACTCAAAATGTTAGTGTAAATTTAAAGCTATAATAACCCAGAACATGGCATAGGGGGAGGATACAGAAACATACATTATGAGGACATTAGACTGCTCTCTTGTGGTGACACTAGCTTGTTCATTCACACAGCTACTTCAGCTTTATAAGAAGAAAAAACATTAACACAAGGCCACCTGAAGTATAATAAATTCAAAACAATAGTCATTGTAAAAAAAAATTCAGAAAGCAAGACCATTAAAGGGGAGTTTATGGTATTTTGAGATCCAGCTTATCTCTGGTCTTTGTTCCCATAATATTGAGAAAATCCTGATATATAGAGAAATGTAGTGGAAATAGCAATGTATTTAATATTCTACTTGTAACCTCAAGATAACCTTCAAATTAACCTGTTATAGAATCTTGGAAAAAGAACAATACAAAACTTTTTTCTTCCAGTTTAAAAGTCACCAAAATTACCTTAACTGGTTTAATTTCTTATCACAAAGGGTTACGAAATAAAGAACCCCAAACTTGTATTTTTATGCACACATTGATAAATCCAAATATAATCATGGAAATGGAAGAAGAGTCTTTATTCTCAAGCTCTATTTTTTAAAAAGGGTGATTGACAATGAGTAATTTCCATTGTACTCAAACTTAATATATACTTCATTTAAGCATGCATTTTATTCTTAATATCTTTAAAAAATATTTGAAAATAAAGGACAGGTATTTAAAGAGGCCCTGCAGCACCCACTTTTCTACAAAATAGCACGTAAAAAACACGAAGCTAACACTTTAGGGTCACCGTTGAAGCCAAACATCAGAATGTGGGTTAATTATTTAATGCTGACTTGTTCCCACTTTGTGTGTCCATTAGTGATTTTCAGATGCTGTATTGTGTACCAGTGATCTTAATTCTAGTCAGTTTGGGAGCTTTGATCTACAAATATATTGACTGGGAAAGATTTGGTGTAGCTTGTTCAGATGAGCAGGACAAGGAGAGTATTTGTGGTTGACCCAGCACTCCTCGCTCTCCATCCTCTTCATTTCTGCTAAGTACAGACCTGACTCTAGACAGGTCTACTCTGTATGATGGGGAGGACAGTTGTCCAGAAACCCCAACTTTGCATCTCTCTTAATTTGGGCTCATCCACCCTCCTGCAAACAAAGCAGCTTCCAAAGCAGTATCTGGGTTCCTTATGTTATTCGGAAGGTGATCTCAAAAGGCACAATGAGGAAATGAACAGGTGAGACAAAGGAGAGGAAGTTTCCAGAGCTTTATCAGTGAGTTGGTTACACCTGTAGCCAGTCAGCATTCAATCCTGCCTGGATGCCTTAGATATCTGGGGCACCTCTGAGAATTGTCCCTCTGAAGAGCAAGGAAGCAAGGGTATCTTTGTGTCAACTCTGCTCAACCATCTTGAGAATTGTTTGAGTGGTAGTTGTCCAATAGGTCTAGTTTACTCTGCAGGTACAGTAATGGCCTTGGGCAGAGAGATACAGGATCCCCACTTACGTACAGGAATTGGATGCAGGTGACCTCAAGGGTGAGCCAACAGGATGTAGATGAGGCACCTGTAACTCCCAGGACAGCTCCTGCCAGTACCATGTTCCCCAAAGCAGCATAGAGTTGCTTCTCCAATTCCTGTTGTAGTGAGCCCAGCCAGTGACCCTGTTCCATCATGCCCATGTCAGTACCCAGTCACAGGTCCAGAGGAGTGGGTGGCTGCTTTCTAGTGAGAGAGGAAGTTTTATCTGTTGGAATAGAAGAGGTGCCCCTCAGCCTTTCTCCCACCCTTCTGAGTAACTAAAATTCCCCTTTAAAACTGAATCATAAGAGGGAGAATGACTGCCATTACTCTGCCCAGGACCCAGGGAACTGGTAGACCCAAACGTGCCTGATTCTTCAGTTTTCCTGAATTTGATCCCTCTGCAGAAAAAAAAAGTCACTATCAAAAAGCCAATTGTCATTCTTCGTCTTTAGAGAAATTCCCATTAAAGATAAAGCAAATTTTAATTAGATTAAGTATCCAATTACTGTAATTACATTTTTTAAAAATTCACATCATGAAGATGACCCTTTTTAAAAGGGTTACAGGAATAATTAGTGTATTCCTATTAACCAAAATGTATTGGATAATATTTATACCCAGAAGACAAAGTACGTTACAGACATTTCACCTTTGGGGAAAGCTTGTAAATGTTTTGGCAGTGGCATGAATATTTATAGGCAAAAGTATGCTTTAGCAAGATTATGTGAGGAAGCATTTAAATGCTTACCAATTTTTACCCAGGGGTAAAGTATACAGAAAATGTAGTACAGAGATTATGGATATGCAAAATATGACTTAAGCAGGGAATTTCTATCAGTTTACTCAATTAATTGGTGCCAAAGACGTTTCTCCTTATTCAAAGCAGAAAGGCCCTCGGTGTCCCAACTGTGACTTCTTGCCCCTCTGTGTTGCTCAGGGATAGGGACCAGTGAGGACAGGCTTATGCTGACCAGGAGGAGGCCTCTGTCCTCATGCCCACAGAGCCGCAATGCTTATAGCCCAGGGAGCATGGACATGGGTCTTCTGCAGGCTTCCTTCAAACCAGAATGTTTCCTTATAAAGTTGTCTTCTGTTTTCTGAGTCCAAATTGCCTTCCTCAGACCTGCCCTTGAGCCAAGGCACCTGCTGCTTTTTCTGTTGCACACACCATTGCCTTCCAGGCACCATCACATTTCCTGGCTCAGAAGGAGGGAGACAGCACACTCTCCATTTCACAGATGAGAAACTGGGGTCCCAACGCCTGGCACAGGTCCCAGAAGCACACCACAGAACTGGCCTCCTAAGGGAGTGCCACTGCTGCTCAGCTCAGAGGTGCATGACCCGGGCTTTGCCTGACAGGGAGCCATGTTACGGTCACCAAAATCTGCAGGCACATCCCACCTGTGCCGCTGCCCAGGTCTTTTCATGAGCATCTGCCAGACCAGACAGAACTCCCAAACCTACCCAGCTTATGTCTGGTTATGTATATGCACCCTAGTGGCAAGAGAGGACAGGAACTAGCATTCGATTCTGTATTGAGAAGGTGAGATTCCCAACATAGATAACCTAGAATAGAGAAAGAACACTCAAAGGATATTGGATGTCCATGGCTGTCGGTGTTCATCACATTTCCCTAACTTCTGCCAGAAGCTCTATCGACCTACTGAAGCCCAGGGCGCACCTCCCGCTTTCCTCCTCTCTCCTCTCCATTCGGCACTTCGGTGTTACAGCCCTGCTTCCTTCCACTTGCTCTTTGGGAACCTTGGCCTCATTTCCCTGCTAACTACCCCCAATTTCCTTCCCATGTGACTCTCCATGATGGAGTTACTGCCATTCCTCATGGGCACATTTAAAAATTGTTTTCAGAGCCCAAGGTACATCCTTCTAATTTTCTCTGAGATGGAAAAACCTCGATCATAGCAAAAATTAAATTTTTGGAAATAGGCAAAATCACTGTATTAGGTTTCGCCAGAGAAAGAGAACTAACAAGGTGTGTGTGTGTGTGTGTGTATAAAGAGAGAGATTTTGGGGAATTAGATCATGTGATTTTGGATGCTTGCAAATCCAAATTCTACAGAGTAAGAGGTTAGATTGAAGACCCAGGAAAAGCCAATGCTGCTGCTCATGGCAGAATTGAGTCAGCTGCAGAATTCCCTCTTGCTCAGGGGAATATCAATCTTTCATTCTATTGAGATCTTCAATTGATGAGATGACACCCACCCACATTATGAAAGGTGACCTGTTGTACTCAGATTCCAGTGGTATACATGATAGTCTCACTTTTAATGTGTCTTTTTGCATATGGCCCTTGGAGACTTCTAGTCTTAAGAGATGCTTTGGGGATAACCTGTCCTTTCCCAAATGTGCTGTTGGTCTCCTAGGAAAGGATGTTATTTCCAAGATGTTTTTAAGATCCAAAGATAGCCCCATTGCCCCACTGAAGAGATTTCTGAATATCACACTTCTAAACTTCCAACACGCTCAAGAGTTTTTTTCCTACCTTGTTCTTCTTAGAGAATAGCCTACACAATTCTTTATGAGGATGACAGAGGCTATGAGAAATGAACTCTTGGTTTACGGTTCCTACCACTTTTAGGTGTGCCTGACTTCACTCTGGCTACTTTCCTCTAGGCTCATCTGCACTACTGATTCTCCAATCTAGTCTCAGATTCTGGGCTGAACTCCAACACTGGTCCATTTCCCTTGATTCTGATGTTTCTCCTATAAAATGTGTAAATATGCTCATCTCTTCCATTATAAGAGAAGTCAGCCTTATGGGGCCTGGTGCTGTGGCAGAGCAAGGGCTGCCTACAACAGTGGCATCCACATTTCTGATCCAGCTCCCTGTTAATGGTCCCTCTCTATTTGCTTCTTCTTTAGCCTATAACCTTCAGATTTCCAATATCAGTTCTCCATATGAGATTTTATTGGGAAAACCAGCCCAGAAGTCTTAAAGGTTAGGACTCCCCTAGCTCCACAGTCTGACCAGCCAGTAGAGAGGGCAGCCATAACAGGTTCCACTCTAAGCTACTGCAGCTCTGTGAGCTAGCCAACAATTCCGTCCTGAGGAAGCTCCTGTCTCTTCTGGGCCCACACTACCTGGCTACAATAATGAATATGGTCCCAGGTAAATACTCTGGACTATACCTTTGTGTTTCCACCATTCTCTAGGCTTCTCCAGGACAAAAATGGTCAGGATCCCTGCGCCATTCATCTTGACCTTGGCCATCTGCTATAGCCCAAGTCCCTCAGACTATCCATTTTCATAGGGCCACTCATCTCCATACTGCTCCACCCATTTTTCCCCTGGAATATGAAAATGAATTAATATACTTCTGTCACTAATACCTATGATCTTGGCTTCTCTTTCTTGCCTTTGTGTAAGCCCAAGAGGGACATGTTTGTTACTTTGATCAACTTACAGCTGACTCCAGGAATGTCACCAACAGTGTTCCCTTTTTGACTAACTCTAGCCTCCAGAACTTTGTCATTTTCCTCGATGACGTTCAGCCAGCCATCCTTGGGCACAGAGGCCATGATCTCTTCTTGCTGTTCTTGATCAGCTGCAACTGGACACACTTCCTGATGGCTGAGCTGGGCTGCTTGGCTTCGATCCCCACTTTCTCCAGCATGATCCCTTTAGTGTAGGAGCAGCCCCCTAAGGGGTTGGCCTTTAGGGCCATGCTCAGGTCTGCCTTCTTGTACTGCTTGTTTGCCACTGCTGCTTGGACCAGTGACCGCAGTGCTTCCTAGCCACATGGAGGCCACAGCACTTGCTCATCTTGCCAATGCGCGGGCCTGAGTTTTTCTGCTCCTCCCGGGCTTTACTCTGATTCCATCTCCTACCTTGTGCCAACTTTTCAAGCTTACTGTACTTTAGGACACTCAAGTCCTACATCGTTGACTTTTTTGAAGTTTTTCTTAAGCTTCTTGCTATCAAGGAAACTAAGTTGTTGCTTTTATTCTAGTTTCCTTGAAATTTTTCCCCCAAGTAAAAGCTATTTTTGTTCCTGCAGCTCAGAAAGTCTGGGAATGGAATAGATGGCCAGCTGTTTCCCTTTGCTACATCTAATTTTTGCTTTTAAAATTTATTTATAAAGGCAGAGAAAGAGGCATAGGGATGATAGAGATCTCTCATTTGCTGGCTTACTCCTGGAGCCCAGCAATAAATGGATTTAAGAGAGGCCGAATCCAGGGGCTGGAACTCACATTGGTGACAGTAGCCAACTATCTCACTCGTCACCTGCTGCCTTCCTTGCTGGAAGCAGAGGCAGGACTCAAAGCCAGGCACTCTGGGCTGTGGGCATGCGAAGTGATGTCTCAACTGCTTCACCATATGTCTGCTACTTCCCTTTGCCCCTGCCACCTTCTTCATTTAAAAACACAGCCCTGGGCCCGGTGCAGTAACCTAGCGACTAAAGTCCCTTGCCTTGCATGCACTGGAGTCCCATATGGGTCCTGGTTCTAATCCCAGCAGCTCCGCGTCCCATCCAGCTCCCTGCTTCTGGCCTGGGGAAGCAGTTGAGGATGGCCCCAAGCCTTGGGACCCTGCACCCGCATGGGAGACCCAGTAGAAGAATCTTCTGGCTCCTGGCTTCGGATCAGCATAGCTCTGGCCATTGCAGCTGCTTGGGGAGTGAACCATCGGAAAGAAGATCTTCCTCTTTGTCTCTCTTCCTCTCTGTATATCTGACTTTCCAATAAAATATAAATCTTAAAAAATAAAAACACAGCTCCTTTGGAGGACAAGTCCTTTGGTTGTGCATTGCTTCCTCTGTCCTTGTGTCTTCTACTTTTCCAGTTAAATGTTCATCCTTTCAAGATTTCAGCCCTAGGATCCCTATCTTCATTTCCATGCCATTTCTTATCTCTGATGTGGGAGTCGAACATAGGTTCTTTGTTTTTTTAAAGATTTATTCATTTTTATTTGAAAGGCAGAGTTATAGAAAGATAGGAGAGGGAGGGAGAGAGGGAAGAAAAGAGAGAGAGAGATTCTTCCATGCACTGATTGACTTCCCAAACCACTGGAGCTGAGCTGATCTGAAGCCAGGAGCTTCCTCCAGATGTCTCATGTAGCTGCAGAGCCCCAAGGACTTGGGCCATTCTCCTCTGCTTTCCTAGGCCATATGCAGAAAGCTGGGTTGGAAGTGGAGCAGGCAGGTCACAAATTGGTGCCCATATGGGATGCCAGCACACACAGCAAGAGGATTAGTCAGCTGGGCCACCCACCATAACATCCCACATTTCCCCATCCTGTTTTTATTTTAAGCATCTCTTCTGAGCCCCATTCCTAATTGTCCAGTTGAATCCATGAGATATTCTGTGGAACTGAAAAAATTTACCTGCTGAAGGTCTAAACTGTCCTTTATCAGAGTCTTATTCTGTAGAGTCTGTGTCCACCCAGTCCTCCGGGCCAGAATCTGGGGAGTCGTTCAGGATTCTCTGCATTCTTGGAGGCCCCATTTCATCAGTCACCTCATCCCTAAGCTGCGCCTGTTGTTCACGAGTCTTATCCTCTCCTGAGAACAAAACAGAGAGGGCAAGTTCTGTAGTGTACATGGTTGTAATGGTATACACTGTGTAAGGGTGAGCACATTATCTTTTTTATCTGTAAAAGTGTATACAATAAAATCGGCAGAATCAACTGAGTTATGATGTGTAAGATGTCTGGAACATAGTGAAGACTAAGCATACTCTAATATCAGTGTTCATGATGGCCGAGTGAAACCAGGAGTAGAAACCATCTGGCTGCAGTAATTAAAGAGATATAGTGCATGTTGCTTAACTAGTTTTTCAACCAGTTGTTCTTTATTCAGCCCCATTCCACACCTCTGCCCAAAGGAGCCGTGCTGGGATTTGATCGGGAGTTCATGCACATGTTTAAACCCAGGTGTGGATTTATGGTGCTAGGAAGTTGCAAGGTCAATCCAACTGTGCTATCCAGGGGCTGGGCTCGGTGGCAGGTCGTTGGATCACAAGGGGTGTGGTCTTGAGGGTTGGATATCTAAGCCTGAGTGGGGTCCAGCTGCCTTGTCTGCTGCCTGGTGATTTGGGAACTCCTCTGCCCGTGCTCCACTGTCGCCATCCCCTGGCTGAGTCAGTGGGGTCCACCTGATTGTGGAAGTGTGAATTTCTAAGCTATGAGGCAGAATAAACCTCCTCCCTTCACTAACAGCTTCTCTCAGGTATTTATTGCCCCCCATTCCTTGAAATCCTAAGTGTAGGCTCTAAATTAATTTGCCTCTTACAGGTTTTCCCCTTGTGAGCACTTAACTCTTTATGCTGTACACCTGCACTGGCCCATACTGCAGGCAATCAGCCATACACGGCTACCGAGCCACTGAAATGTGACCGACAGGCACTACACATTTTGAAATGGTATTTTGGTTTGCCTACAAATGGTAATTAATATCACACACTTATTTGTATTTGTAAAGAAAATGTGGCTACTGGAAAGCTTTCAGTTACATGTGCAGCCTGCATGTGCCTATCAGATAGCTTCACTGTGCGCCTTAGACAATGCTGCTCTCACTTGTCCTACCATTCGCCTTCCTCTTGTCGGTTATATCTTACTTCTTTTTTTCATATTTTTTTTGGGGGGGGAGATGCCTGAGGAAAGACAAATGCATAAACGACTGTGTTTCACGGGATGTAACATCAAATCTTTTCACAAGTGGCTGCTGCTTACTAGTTTGTACAACTGCAGCCCAGCTGAAAGGCATCACCGACAGTGCTCCGAAACCACCTGGAAGCTTCCGACTTCCTACTCTCCCACTGTCTGCTTGCTAAGTTAACAGTCTAGAAAAACTCAGACTTCACCTTTTCTAAGGAGCTGCTCCTGATTCCTGGGTTTTCTTGTTTAGATACTCCCTTTGCCCTGGGCGAAGGGAGCCCATCTTACTTCTCAGAAAGTTTTTAACAGGTGGGATGGATTCAGGAATTTTCCAGGCAGAGGTAACAGTATGATGACTTCTCGAACACAGATTGTGATAGGAAAACTGCAGACTGTCCAGCTTTGGATGGAGCGCTGCAAAGAACAGGTCGCGTTGTTCTGAAGATCATGAAGTTACAGAAGGGGAGCCAGTGAAAGGTGGTAAGCGAGAGAGAACACTGGCCCAGGGTTTTAGCATTAGCACCTTTGGCTGCAGACTGAGAAGAGATTTGTGGGGGGCAGGAGCGGAAGCTGGAAGACCAGGAGTTCTCAGCGATAAGGAGGAAAACGGATGGGGTGGCGGAACGCGTGGGACGCGGTGCTCGACCCGAGCGCTGGAGGAGCAGTTTTTAGTGTAAATGGGGGCGTGAGACCGGTAGCTCCGCGGGAAGAGCGGCTCGTCTCGGACCGCCTCGCGCACCGTGTCCCTCGCGCGACGCCGTCCGTGAGCAGTCTGGTCGCGAGCGGCCGCGCGTGCGTTCTGCGGTTCCGGTTCCGGTTCCGGCTGAGGTCTGCACCTGCGGCGACGGTGAGCGGCCATGGCGTACTCCACGGTGCAGAGGGTGGCCCTGGCCTCGGGGCTCGTTCTCGCTGTGTCGCTGCTGCTGCCCAAGGCGTTCCTGTCCCGTGGAAAGCGGCAGGAACCGGCGGCGGCACCCGAAGGTAAGAGCCGGCCTGAGCCTGTGCCCGGTGTAGGAGAGGGCCGAACGCCGGACGTTGGGAGGGGTGACTCTGGGAGTGTCTGGTCCTCACCCAGCTGTCCACCACACCAGGTGGACGGGCAGCCGAGGCGGCGTGTGGGAGGAGCGTGTCCCACGGCCCCCTTGGCTCCAGTGGGCAGCGGCTCGGCTCCACCCCGCACGGGTTCACCTTGGGGGTTCGGGGGCAGCCGAGGCCAGGAGTACACACCTGCCTGGCGTGCACACCCGCCCTCCCCGCTCACAGCCTCTTTCCTCCACTCCTCAGAGGCTTGACCATCTGCTCAACCATCTGGTCCTCTGCTCCAGTCACTAGGCTTCCCAGTTGGGTTTCCCTCTCTGGAGTGTGCTGGTGCTTTCTGTTAACCGGTAGGAATGAAAGCAGTTGGCGTTGGGAATGTTAACTTGTTTACTTTCAGCTGGGTGTGGGGCGTTCCCTGCTTTAGGCTGTTTCTTTTGTGCCCGTAAAAACATAACCTGAAAGTTTTGATAAACCAGCATTCAATTACTGAGCTGGCAAGGAACACATTATTGTGTTCCCCATTCTCAGTGTTTGTTTTACGAAGTTGACCATCCACCTGTTCGTCTTTTGTTACTGGCATGGTGCTGGTTGAAAACCTGTCCCGTTGACTGCATTCAAGGGGCTTTTATGGAATGTTTGTCAAGGCATGGGTGTTGAAGGCCGATAGAAGAAACCAGAACTTTGTCTTGCAAGTTACTAACGTCCTGGAGACTTGGTCTTACAGTCTGTGAGCAGTTGGCGTCACTGTTGAACCTGATGACTGCTGGACAGCTCCTTGTGGACCAGAATCCAGCGCTGTGGCTTCTGTGCTGGTGGCTGTGGCTCAGACTACCCGTACTGTAAATGCAAAGAGGCAGGCTTTGGGGTGGAACGCAGCTGAATAGGCTTCCTTAATCCTCACGCTTGTCCAGACTGGCCACCTGGAAGAGACAGAAAACAGCTTTGTAAATTTGCCATTTCCATCATCTGTCTTACTCCAAAAGGCTTTACTCATTTTGCTTAATGATATTGTTTCTGTTGGAGTGAATAAATTCATGATGATCTTTCTCTTAAAGAGGCTGCTGCTTTTTTTTTTTCAAACCGAGTTGAATTCCCATGTTGGTGTGATATCTTGAACAGGCGCTGCTAGTGTGAGTGGGAGGTGCTCTTGTAATGGTTGTATGGTTGTAGAGTGCAGAGTGGTGGTTAGATGTGATGTCTTCCCTGAGAACTCTGCTGCTGGTAGGGAATGTTCTCATCTTAGTGTCTTTGTACTGTATGTGCCTTTTCCTGAGTGCTCTTGCGCCTTGGCTTTCACCGCCAATGTAAGCTATTCACAGAGGCTTTCCCTGACAGCCCTAGTTAAAATCATCATTCCATTTCTATCACTTCCCATTCCACCATGTCTATTTTCTTCTTTGAATCACTATATAGAACCAAAGATCTTCAAATCTTAATGGAAATGTATAGTATGCAGCCATCCTGTACTGAGTTTGTTCAGAGTTTTAATCATGAGTGAATAGTGGATTTTAGAGTGCTTTTTTCTGCGCCTGTTGAAGTTATCATGTGATTTTTGTTAATGTGTTTATTTTGCAATGTTGAACCATCTTTGTATCACCCATAAATCCCACTTAATCACAGTGAATGGTTTTTTTTGAAGTAGGATTTGAAATATTGCATGATTTGATTTACTAGTTTTGAGAATTTTTCCAATTGTATTCCTCAGGGAGACTGACTGGTAGCTTGCCTTTTTCCCTTATATTATTTTGGCTTTGCCATCAGAGTGATAGTAGCCTTGTAGAATGAGTTTGGAAGAATTTCTTCCTTTTTACTGTTTTGTAATAGTTTGAGAAGAATTGATGTTAGTTCTTCATTGAAAGTTTATTAAGAGTTCACCAGTGAAACCATTCCAGTCTTGTGGGTTTCTTTGTTGGCTGACTTTCTTATTTCTTCAGTCCTGTTGATCATTGTTGATGTATTCAGGTTTTCTGTGACTTTATGGTTCAGTTTTGGTAGGTCATATATATTCGTTCCTTCTACATTTCCCAATGTGCTGGCATAATTTGCTGTTCATAATAGTCTCCCAGGATTGTTTATATTTCAGTGCAAACAGTTGTAATAGCTCCATTTAAAAAATTATTTATATTTTATTGGGAAATCAGATTCACAGAGAGGAGAGACAGATCTTTTGTCTGCTGGTTCTTTACCCAAGTGGCCACAACGGCTGGGGCTGAGCCATTCTGGAGCCAGGAGCTTCTTCCAGGTCTCCCACATGGGTGTAGGGTCCCAAGGCTTTGGGCCGTCCTCGACTGCTTTCCCAGGCCACAAGCAGGGAGCTGGATGGGAAGTGGGGCAGCCGGGACACAAACTGGCACTCATATGGGATTTTGGTGTATATAAGGCAAGAACTCATCCTTTGGCTGCCACAGTGGGCCCTATCTCTATTTTTCATCTCTGATTTTATTTGAGTCTTTGTTTCTTTTTCTTGGTTAGATGACTCAGATTGCTAATTCCCCTCCAAGTGCTTGGCATCTCGTTCCCTTTAGATAAAATGTTTTTATCCTCTACAATGCTGAGTGTTCCAGCATATTAAAAGAATATACATTTAAACTAATTTGTCTTTGTGTTGAATTGATCTACTTGAGCATTATTTGGTCAATTTTTTAAACAGGTTTTGACAAGGTTTATTTTGTGTGATTTAAATTTAGCTACTCTTATGGTTTCTACTTGGAATAATTTTATATTTAAGGTTATTGATAGGCAATTTTATCGTTTAAAACTTCTGTCTACTTGAGTATGCTCTGCTTTTTATCTTTTATTCATTTTTATGATTTGGTAATTTATTGATAAGTGATGATAATTTCCTCTCTTGTATTTTTGCTCTTGGGATGGGTTTTATGCATTTATGTATTTTCATGGTGGTATGTTATCTTTTGATTCTGTCATAGGAAATCCTTAAACATATTCTGCATGGTTGGTACAGTAGTTTTTGCTCATATTGGGACCTGTTTATTTCTCCTTTGTTGATTAAGGCTAGCTTTGTTGGGCATAGTATTTTTGGTATATTTCTTTTTATCCGAGAATTTGGAATATATCATTGTGTACCTATTGACCTGTGAAGTTTGTTAAAAATATTTTGCTGGACTAATAGGATATTTTACAAATGTAATTTGGTTATTTTTCTGACAGGTTTTGAAACTCTTTGGTTTGTGTTTTTGACATTTTGACAATATATGAGTTATAGTGAAGCTCTTTTCTGATTATGTCTACTTAGGGTCCTATTAGAGGTATCCAAAGATTGGGGGGAGGTTTTGGCTCTTAATTTCAGCTACTAATTTAGTTGGGTTTCTTTATGTCTCTCTTAAGAATTAGCAGAATTTTAGTATTATTGGTGTTAAAGGTCTGGTCTTGGAAGTGTCCTTCATTCTTTATTTTCTTGTTTCCTCTTTCTTTTTTGCCCCCCCCCCCCCCACCTCTTACTGGAATATCTTATAAATGCTGTCTTCATTTTATATTTTCTCCATCTGATCTGGATGCTTTTTCATTCGCAGAATTTCTCTTTCATAATATGTATTGCTCAGTCCATTAAACTGTATTCTCTTGTATCTCTTGAGTATTTGTATAGCTGTTCTTTTGGGCTCTATCAAGCTTTTCCTCACTCTGTCTCTTTAATATATTAATTTCTTTATTTGAAATACAGATTTACGTAGAGAGAGAGAGAGAGAGATTTTTATCCTCTGACTCATCTCCCAAATGGCTGCAACAGCTAGGACTGGGTCAGGCTGAAGTCAGGAGCCAGGGCTTCAAATGGGTTCCCCTCCTGGGTGGCAGGAGCACCAGCACTTGAACTGTTGCTTTCCCAAGTACATTAGCAGGGAACTGGACCAGAAGTGGGGCAGCTGAACTTGAACCAGCACCCTTAGGGATGCGGCACTGCAGGCTCACATGAATCTCTCTAAATTGTTAGACAAGCATGATTGTGTTCTATTGGTGGTGTCATATAGCTTTGCTTTTTCATTTTTGTTGTGTCCCTGTATTGATATTTGCACATCTGTTGGATTAGTTGCACATCTGTTGTTTTTAAAGGGTGTGGTGTTCATGGCTTTTGCTGAAAGATGTGTGTTTGGGTAGCCTGTTTTAGTTATACCTGGGTGCTGTAATTGATGGCTGTTACGGTGAGGATCTGGACTGCTTTTCAGCCTCAGTGGGAGTGTATGGATGTAGCGGTGGTCCACAGTATCAGGGATGTAGTAGCCCTGGTCTGTAGGAGTGATGCAGTGCTAGGTCCAGGCAGTGGCCTGAGGTAGCATGGACAGAGTTGTGGGAGCACCAGCCCATGTATTGGTGGGCACTAGGCCCTGGAAGCAACCTGAGGCTGCAGGGATTGATCTGTAGTCCCTTCAACAGCCCCGTGGCCTAGTTTTGGTTCATAGTAGTGCTGCTGCCAGGCATTCTGAAAAGGTAACCAGTCTGAGTAGTGACCCATAGGTCCAGGATTGTGTAAGTACTGGAGCACAGTACTAATGAGGGTGGCAACAGGGTTAGTACCTGGTCTGCAGAAGCACTGCCAGGGGTTTTGGCAGGGTACCAGAGGGCTCACAGGGATGGACCCGAGGCCACAAGAGCTTTTGCCAGCAGATTTGTGTGAGTCTTACACATCAGATGATGTCCCCACGTGGCAGGGAGGCGGGGCCAGAGCAGGCTGTGAACCTCAAGTCAGAAGGGGCAAGCACCTGTATTTCCAGAGTTTAAGAGAAGGGGATCTCTCTGCTCCTCTAACGCCTTATCCCTTATAGAGCAGAGTGCTGCATAGCTGGGATACAGGGTTACAGTTGGTCCTCTGGGTCTGGTTGTGTTTGTGAAGCTGCAGTCTTTTTGGTGCATGGAGTGGAGTGTTGGGAAATGTGTAGGGGATTCTGTCCTCTAGTGCGGTCAGCACTTAGGCCATGACTGATTTGCTGCTGATACACTGCCCATGCTGATACACTGCCGCAGCATTTGCTCTGTGGATTGTGGTGGGCTGAGGGTGGCAATAACAAAGCTACCATGAGCATTCCAAGTAAGTTCTTATGGGGCTCCAGGCCTGTGGCAACTGGATCCTCCTCTTCCTGGGATTGCCAGTGTAAGGTGTCTGTGGAGATAGGCTGTGCTGAGGCTCCCATTAACCTTTTTCACTGATGGTCACAGGTGCAAGTTAACTTTGTTCCTGAGTGCTACAGTGACAGGTTTCCATGTCTTATATGGTCTCTATGTCTCCTTGTCCGAGATCACGTGTTATCTCTTGGGAACTCGCCTTGCACTGCAGCTCTTTATTTGTTGTTTCTGGTTCTTCTGTATGGAGGAGCTGAATACTGGCATCTATATGACCATATGGTTTGACAACCTTTAAGATATGATTCCCCCCCCCCCCCCCCCAATTTCATTATTTGAAAAGCAGTTAGAGAAAGGGAGAGCGATCTTCCATCTTATGGTTCTTCCTCCACGTTTCTGCAAGAGCCAAACCAAAGCCAGGATCCAGGAGCTTTATCTGGGTTTCCCACACGGCTTCAGGGACCCAAGCATTTGGTCATCTTCTGCTGTCCCAGGTACCTTGTTTGGGAGATGGGTTGGAACTAGAGCAACCAGAACTTTAAGCCAAGGCAGTGACTTAACTCGTTACCACACAGTGCTGACTTCAAGATGGTGTTTTAACAGATGTTTTTGGTTAATCTGTTAAATATATCTTGACAATAGGTGCTAGACCTTATATCGTTGTCTGTATCTACATGTCATGATACGCTTAAATAACAGAATGGTGGACTTGTGACTGTAGCTGAAGGACTATGCTATTGTGTTAATATAGGAGAAAACAGTGGGGAAAAAGGGAAAGGAGAAAGGGTAAGTCCCTCAACTGTATCATGAAAAATAAAAATAAAAAAAAATTAAGATGTGCTCTGTCACATATTACATACTCAATGAATAGATGCTGTGTATTCCACGAAAAAAGAGCCAGGTCCCTGGCTAAAGGAACCTATACTTTAGTAAACAGACCTCTTAACAGCTGAGTGCAAAAATGTCAGTTGCAGCTCCAGTCTTCATGACAGGGTAGTAGACACACAAGTATACAGTGGTCAGGGAAGGAGGGAGGGAGGGAAGGCAGGCGGGGGAGAAGAGAGGGAGCAAGCTTCCATTTGTTGTTTTAGTCTTCATATGGTTGCAATGGCCGGGACTGGGCCTGGCATGAACCAGGAACCTGAAACTCCATCAGGGTCTCTCATGTGGGTGGCAGAGGCCCAAACACTCGAGGTGTCTTCAGTTCATTTCCCAGGTATGTTAGCAGGCAGCAGAATTGGAAGTGGAACAGCTGGGCCTTGAATCGACTCTCACATAGACTGCTGGTGTCACAGGTGGTAGCTAACATTGACTCCATGTGGCAGTTTTCTTGAGATCTTGTTCATATCATTTGATGGGCATTTTGATTTTTTTCTCTCAGCTGCCATGAATAATGCTGCTGTTAAATTTTGCATACAAATTATTGTGTGAATTTAGTGTTTTCATTTTTCTTGAGTTCATTCACTTGGAAATGTGAGCTCTCTGTCATGGCTGGAATTAGATCAGAATGTCTGGATTATGGGTTCACTCTGTGTGTAACTGTGTTTCACCGCCAGACTGTTTTCTGAAGCAACTGTGGCATTTTACATTCCCTTGAACAGTGTATGTGGACTCCGGTTTTTCCACGTCCACCCAACACTTACCATTTTGTTTTTCAAGATTTACAGAGAGAGAATCTTCATCTGCTGGGTCACTCATCTCTGCCAAATGTGTCAGGACTAAGTCAGAATCCAGGAACTCCGTATGTGTCTCCCTGTTAGGTGACAAGAATCCAGGACCATTCCATGTCTCCCAGGTGCATTAGCAGAAAACTGGATCTGAAGCACAAAGCAGCCACGGCTCAAAACTGCACCTTGATACAGGAAAAGAGTAGTTTGTTGAGCTGCTGTGTCAACACACCCACAGCCTTATGTGATTTTACTTGCCTTTTCCTAATGGCTAATAACATCGAGCATTTGTTCATGTGTTAGTGTCATTTGTATATTTTCATGAGAGAAATGTTTAATCAGGTTCTTCACCCTTTTTAATAACTACATTGCTGGGCCCGGCGTGAGAGCGTAGTGGTTAAAGTCCTCACCTTGCACTCCCAAGATCCCATATGGGTGCCGGTTCTAATCCTGGCAGCCCTGCTTCCCATCCAGTTCCCTTTTTGTGGCCTGGGAAAGCAGTCGAAGATGGCCCAAAGCCTTGGGACCCTGCATCTGTGTGGGAGACCTGGAAGAAACTCCTGGCTCCTGACTTTGGATGGCTCAGCTCCAGCCGTTGCAGCTGCTTGGGGAGTGAATCATCAGAGGGAAGATCTTCCTCTCTGTCTCTCCTCCTCTTTGTATATTTGATTTTCCAATAAAAATAAATAAATCTTTTAAAAAATAACTAGATTGCTTCTCTATTGAGTAATACAAAAAGTTTGCATTTTATATATAAGTACATTATCAGATATATGATATGCAAATATTTTCTTCTATTCAATGGGTTGTTACCACTTTCTTGATGGTATCCTTTGCAGAGGGAGTGTTTAATATTATAATGAAGCTTAATTTTTCTTTTGTTGTTTTCCCCTTTTAGTCGTTTCTCAGACAAATCAGTGCTAAATCCAAGATCATGAAGATTTATGCCTGTGTTTTCAAGGGTACAGTTTCTGTTTCTGCAGTGAGCTTGTTTGCAGGTCCCAGCATAGGAGCACAGCTACTCATATACCCTTGACTGAAGACCGCTCCTCCTCTAGCGGAGATGGTCGTCCTCTTCGCCCGAGTGTACAGCTTTGGGAGGGATACAGGTTTAGGGGGGACGGACATGGTGTGATAAGGGAGGAAGGGGATGCCTGTCTGGACAGCCAGATCAGCTGAATCAACCCTGGCGATCAGTGGGGTGACAGACGTCGCAGACAGATTGCCCTCACACCCTGCAGTGTTTACTGTTTTCAGTTAGTTTTTGCATGGAGTGTGAGGTAGGGATAGTGGATATACAGTTGCCTCCAGCACCACTTGTTGAGAAGAGTTTTCTTTGTCTGGTGCAGTGTTTTAATGCTCTTGACTATTGTTTAATTATAGGCTTTCAATTCTGTTCTGTTGATCTATATACTTGTCTTTAAGCCAGCAGCACACTGTCTTGATTATTGCAGCTTTGTAGTGGATTTTGAAATCATTGAATGTAAGGCTTTTTACTTTGTTCTGTTGTCAAGATTATTTTGTCTGCTCTGGAGCCTGTGACCTGGTATATCAATATTTCAGGATCTTCTTGTCAATTGCTGCAAAAACAACAGAAAAACACACAAAAGGGAATTTGATGAATTTTATGTTGAATCAGTTTAAGAAAAATTGTCCTGTTACCAACATTATAACTTTTGAAACTAAAAATGCAGAATTTCTTTTTATTATGTCTTTATTGGCTTTTTAAAAAGTAATTTAAAAAAGGGAGGGAAGGGTGACTCGGCGTGATGGCTCAGTAGCTAAATCCTCACCTTGCATGTGTCAGGATCCCAAATGGGTGCTGATTTGTGTCTTGGCTGCTTTGTTTCCCATCTGCCTCCCCCCTTGTGGCCTGAGAAAGTAGTGGAAGATGGCCCTGCACCCACATGGGAGACCCTGAAGAGGTCACTTGTTTGCAAATGAAAGACAGTCCAGTCTGCCTTTAGGAGGGACAGCCTGGCAGCTGTGGAAGGGCTGCACTGTAAGCATTTCTTGATTGTGAAGCTCTGGCTTCAACGTCACTGGGCAGTGTCATTGGATGCATCAGAAGTGATAGAGAATTCACCTTCGATTGGCTTGTGACAGAATGGAAATTCATTGTTTTGTATCAGTGAGAAGACCTTGTATTATGGTTTGATTCAGAGATCCAAGCTAGGTTCTTTGCAAATGGGCTTTGTCCTTGAGTGTTCTGTCAGGGCAGCACCATGGTTGCAGCAGGTCTAGACATGGTCCTCTTCTATTCTGCTGTGCGCAGAGCTAGTGCCCTTCTAAATCTCAGTTCCACTTTAGCCCTGCCTCCCAGAATACTTCCCAGCAGCTCCAGGAAGTGTATCTACTCTTAAAAAAATGTTTACTTGATTGATGGAGAGTGACCATCCACCTACTGGTTCATTTCCAAAATGCCCACGGCAGTGGAGGCTGGGCCAGGCCAAAGCCACGAACTCCATCCCAGTCTCTTTTAGATAGAGGGGACTTAGTAGTTGAGCCATAATCTGCCTTCAAGATGTGTTAGCATGCAACTGAAAGGAGTAGGGAGGTCTCATTGGACCCAGGCACTCCAGTACGGGGTGCAGGCATACAATGTAGTGGCTTAATTTATTGTACCACAATTCCTATCCATATCTACCTTCTTAATGACTTTAATCAACCTACTTGAGGTACTATAGGCAGAGAGGACATGCTGATTAATCCACTCTGAATTTGAATGGTTCCCAAAAGAACATACTGGAGCACAGGAGCCAACACTAGGTTGAAGGGAAGAGAATGAGTTTAAGAGATACTTGAAGAGGAAGTGGAAGGTAGAAGAAGCATCTTGGGTTGTTTTCAGGCTTAGGTGAATTAGGTAGGTGGTTATGTCCTCACCAAGGTAGGAATGGAGGAAGAATAGACTAGGGGGAGGATGCTGAGTTTGGGGACTTGAAGACTGTCATTTTCTAAAATGTGTTTTACTATGTAACATTCCTAGCTCTCTTGTGCATTCCTCTCTGGTACATCTGTAGTATCTAAACACAGCCCTCTTGGAAGGGGCTCTTAGAACCTAAATAACAGCAAACGCAGTGCAGTTAGTATGTGAAGGAATTGTTTATTATCTCCACCCACCCTCCTTTGTAAAATTCTGTATGTAATTGATTTGATTTTTGCTATTTTCCATTGGCTGACTTTGCTGTAATAATAGTTTTTAAACCTTTCATTTTTAATAGGATTGATCATCTAGATTTTATCCATTTTGTACCATTCGCTTCTTGCTTTGGAACCAAATATGGGGTTTTACAGTTTTCTGTTATTTTATTTTTTTTTAAAGATTTATTTTTATTATTTTTTCATTGGAAAGGCGGATATACAGAGAGGAGAGACAGAGAGGAAGATCTTCTGTCCGATGATTCACTCCCCAAGTGAGCACAACGGGCCGATACTATGCCAATCCGAAGCCAGGAGCCTCTTCCGGGTCTCCCACGCAGGTGCAGGTTCCCAAAGCTTTGGGCCGTCCTCGACTGCTTTCCCAGGCCACAGGCAGGGAGCTGGAAGGGAAGCGGGGCTGCCGGGATTAGAACCGGCGCCCATATGGGATCCCGGGCGTGCAAGGCGAGGACCTTTAACCACTGCGCCACTGCGCCGGGCCCTCTGTTATTTTTTTATCTGTTTAAATTTGGCCCAGAATTTTAGCCCCCTGAAACATTTTTCAAAGCGTTTATTGGTCACTATTTTAGCTATATGTCATTCTTCTTTTTTAAAGATTATTTTTATTGCAAAGTCAGATATATATATAGAGAGAGAGGAGGAGAGATAGAGAAATATCTTCCCTCCAATGATTCACTCCCCAAGTGATTGCAACAGGTGATGCTGTGACGATTCAAAACCAGGAGCTCTTCTGGGTCTCCCATGTAGGTGCAGGGTCCCAAAGCTTTGGGCCATCCTCTACTGCTTTCCCAGGCCACAAAAAGGGAGCTGGGTGGGAAGTGGGACTGCCAGGATTAGAATCGGTGCCCATATGGGATCCCGGCACGTTGAAGATGAGGACTTTGGCCCTGTATGTCACTCTTTTTTAAATTCTTTATTTGAAAGGCAGATTTACAGACAGAAGAAGAGACAGAGAGGTCTTCCATCTGCTGGATCACTCCCTAAATGGTTACAATGGCCAGACCTGAGCTGATCCAAAGCCAGGAACCAGGAACTTCTTGGTCTCCCACATGGCTGCAGGGCTCAAGGACTTGAGCCACCCTCTGCTTTCCCAGGCCAGAAGCAGGGGGCTGAATTGAAGTAGAGCAGCTGGGGCACAAACCGGTGCCCATATGGAATCCCAGCATTAAGCAGGCAGAGGATTACCGTGCTGTGCCACTGGGCTAGCCCTAGATATGTGCTGTCCTTGACTTTTACAAAACTTTCTGTTAGACATTTTTAAACATGCAAAACTAGAAAGAATAGTAAAATGAATCCACACTGCTGTGCTTCAACGTCGTCACTGTGTGGTCAACTTTGTATGATAGATAATCCTCTACTTACTCTTTTCCCATAGTCATTGGATTATTTTGAAGCAAATCTAACACATTGAATGATTTCATCCTTCAAATGCTTCAGTGTGAACTTCTAAAAAAAAATAAGGAACTTTAAAAGACAAGATACTGCTATCACATCTAAAATATCAGTACTTTTTCCGTAAAGTTATTAAATATCTAGTTAATGTTCAGACTCCTCCCACTATTTTGTATAATATGATTTCGCCCTTATTTGTTGTGTCTTCTTGATAGATCAAACTATTTTAGAAAATGTAGCAGTTATTTGAAATTGTGCTTGGAGTTGCACCAGCCTGTTCATTGAAACGTTTTGTGTAGTCATTCAGCCAGCTGATGTGACTGCATCTTACCTGTCGCTGTGGTCTGTTTTCTTTCTCACTTCCTCTGTTCAGTCTATTCTCAATACGTAGTGCTTCCTTCAAAGCATAAGTCAGCTCAAAACTTTGCAGGAGCTCCTTGGCTCGCTCATGAGGAGACTTTTGTACTGACCACAAAGGCCCCTCTTACCCTTTTCTCCATTTCATTCTGCTCTTTCCTTTGATTTGGCTACCCTGTCTGCTTCCTTGCTCTTTTGAACATGCCGGATGTGCACCTGCTTTGGGGCCTTGATGTTTGCTGTTTCTTCTATACGGTGCTTTTGGATATCCACTTGCCTATTCCATCATCATAGTTTTTGAAAAGATCCATTTATTTTACTTGAAAAGTTAAGTTACAGAGACAGAAGGAGGAAGAGACAGAGATCTTCTGTCTGCTGATTTACTCGCAAATGGCTGCAAGGGTTATAGCTGGGCCAGTAAAGCTGAAGGCTAGGAGCTTCTTCCAGGTATCCCACATGGGTACAGGGGCCCAATGACGTCGGATTGCCTTCACTGCTTCCCCAGGCCCCAGCAGGGAGCCAGATCAAAAGTGGAGCAGCCAAGACTAGAACTGGTCCCATGTTGGATGCTGGTGCTATAGGCAGAGGATTAGTTTTCTGTGCCGCCGTGTTACCTCCTCCTTCATCTTGCTCCTTTCACTCAAGCGACACCTCCTGATGCTTTCCCGGGGCACTCCAGCTGAAATCTTGACCTCAGCTAGCATGCCCCACATTCCTTAGTGTTTATCATTACCGTATTTGTTCTGTTCTCTTAGGAGGCTCTTTGAGAGCAGGGATTTGTGTTGCTCATAATTATATGTCTAGTTTTAGACCAGGCCTGAACATAGTAGACAATAAAAGTTTACCGAAAAAAGTTGAATCTTAAGGATCCTGGTTTTCTCTGTTGGCATACATATCGGCGATATATCATCATTATTAAATTATCATTATTAAATTCCTTGCAATTATATAAATTACCATGTAACCATGTAGTAAATTGTTTTGACTTCAGTATATTTTACTCATGAAACATTTGGACAAATATTGTGTGATACAAGGGAAATATAAAGATATGCATTCACTAGAAAAAAACTGAGTCCATTTTATAACAGTGACTATTTCTGGTTCAGAGAATTTTGCATGCTATTTTATTTTTCTGTCCTTTATCAGATTTCCATAATCATTTTTATAATCAGAAAAACA